GCCTGGGGGCAGATGCCAGGAAGTGAGAGTATCGATGAGAAGAGCACCCACGGCAGCCAGGCCCTGCTCGGGTGTTCCCTGCACCACCTCACCAGGGAGGTCATGGAGGTAGCGCTATGGCTGGTTTCTAGATGCCCCACACAGCCTCACAAGCTCATATCTGGGTCTTTTGGGAGGTGTCAGGATCATGGGTGTGTCATGCAGGACGTCATGCAGTGTGTGACCCTGGGCTAAAGGGCATGTAATAGCACAGATTTGGGTGTGAGTAATGAGAAGACCCACCCTGGGTGTGCATGACACCACCCAAAAGGCCAGTGACCTAGATGGGATAAAAGGGAGAAGCTTGCTTTTGCTGCTTGGCTTTGCTGCTTTCTGCCTACCCTGCCATGGACTGTTTCTCATCTGTGATGCCCCTCTGCCGTGCCACCCTGCCTTGTAGCCAGCCAGCTATGGACTGAAATCTCTACAAACTATGAGCTAAGATAAACCTTTTCTGTTTTAACTCTGGGTGTCAGGTATTTTATGTCAGCAACCAGAAAAGTCACTAAGAAAAGTAGCTACTAATGTCCCCATTCAATAGAAGAGAAAAGTGAAGCACGAATCCCCACAAAGTAATTTACTCCTGATCCTACAACTTGATAAAGAAAACTTGGAAAAGCATGGGAGGAGAATTTCTAAAGTGCAGCAGGGAGTTGCCAGTAGCTATGTCTGGCTGCTGCCTTTCCAGGTGTCCTCCGAGTGGGTTGGCCACAAGGCACACTCTGAACAGTCGAATGTGAGAGTGACAGGTGTCATTTCTTTGTAGGATACCTGAAAACCAATGTGCAATTTACCTGTGTTGCAGCATGCAATTCCTTCAGCCACAGACACCAATAACAACTGTGGGGCTGCTCTGCACCCGGGTCCTGGAGGATTTCGTGCAGGACAGAGACCCATCAGCCCGTGGGCACAGAGCATGGTTGTCTGAAGCCGTGAGATGTGACTGGTCTTTTTTCGCATACAGCACACTCTAGCAGACACAGCCTTATCCAAACAGAGTTGTCACAGAGCTCCTGGGACAAAAAGAGAGCATCTCCAACCATGATGACACTGAGAGAAAAGAGCTGCAGTTCTCTGTCCCTGTCTTCCCCACAGCACCCCTCATGTTTGGAGCTTAAGCAGAGACAATCAAGCCAACCCCACCCCTCAGTCATGACACTGCACTGTCTTCTCAACACTCTTCATGCAAGGCTCTTCTGCTCTCTTCCCCTTTCGTTACTTTCATTCTGATCCTGAAGCATGTATAACCTTAAATAAGCATGTGTGCTTGAAAATGATCTTTGTGTGTTTTTAAATTGCAAAACTGGTAAAATGCTTTAATTCTTGTTCTGCTTCATAGGCTGCTTGGTTTCTGTGTTTTCTGCACACTGGTCTCTGCATGTGGCTGTGGGCACATTCGGTTTGTACAACTTCATAGTATCCCAGAGCAGGTGCTCACTACCTGTCACCCGGCTGCAACCCCAATCATGGGCCCAGGGTCATCTTCTGTCTCTCAGTTTCTGCACAGCACACAACCAGCTGCACCAAGCCACTGGACTTGCTCCGGGATACATCAGCCAGAGCGAAGTCATTTTCTTATAAGCCCAGAAATCTTAATTCTAACAGGTGCCACACATTTCACAGTGCTGTAAAGCTTTACATTCCCACTGCTGACATCAAGAGTCAAGCTGCCTGGACACCACCTAGAACTTGCTGGTGTTTATATTTGCAAAGTGACTGTGCCCCATTCTTTGGCTGTCACTGCCCTGGAAGAGGAGCCTGAGGTGACTGTGCTGCCAACCTGCCACAGACTCACTCTCGGGGACTCTCTGCAAGGTACCCGCTCAGGACTGTACTGCTGGGCCCACAGGTGTCACTGTGCAGTGGACAAGCCACCTGGAGCTCAGGCGTCTGAGCTGCTGGTCCCTGTGGTCCCAAGAGCACTCCACCTTAGCATCCCACAGAGCCACAGTGTCCTTGAAGTGCCCACTGCCCCCTGGTAGACACCACAGAGCCCTGGGCACACAGAGGATCATCCTGACTTGGCTGCTTTTGCCATGACAGACTGGGGAACTCACTGTTTAGGATCTCCCTAAATGATGCAGGGTAGCCTGACAGACAGGATGAGATTTCCCAAGATGCCTGGGTCCCCGGGTGAACCCTCTGCAGCAAGAAGTACAGGGAGCCACACGGTTTCATTATCCTGCAGTTGCTTTATCCAGCCGGTGGCTCCCCAGGCACCCACATGTCCCAGCCTGAACCCCTGAGCAAACCCCATTTCCTTTTGTCCTCTTTCTTGAGAGGATTTGAAACATTATGGCCCCTTCCTTTGACAGGTGAGAAATGAGCAAATTTAGAAGCTCAGGTTGTGATACAAAGAGCAGCCACAAAGCCAGTGTGTCAGGAAGATGGTTCAGACCCTGGATTCACCGGAGGATCAGCCAGCCTGGCCTCCTCCGTGACAAGGGGGACACTTGGATGGCTCTGCGTGACCCCTTGGCGTGCATGTATTTCCCCAGATGAGACCTGGGTGCCAAAGCCAGGTAAGTCCTCCTGAGCGGCCAGTCAGTGCTGCCCCCAGCTGCCTTCCAGCCTCGGCTTTGGCTGCAAAGCCACGGTTTGTTGAGGTGCTCAGTTCACAGCCTACCCCTGGCCTTTCCAATGTTGCCAAAACGATGCATCGATTTAAAAAACAGTCAACCCGTGAGTGTAGAACATCTCGATTGAGAGAAATGTGTGGCAATAGAGTATTTACATTAATTCCATGTTCTATGAAACTGAGAGTGAAGTAAGAAAAACTTTCCACTTTGAGTCCTATGACCGAAAATATTTTAAAATGAGCTGCTGCGTCCTCCAGCCTCCGTCAGCCCAGCAGAATAAGCCCCATGGATGTGGGCGGGTGATGGAATATTCTGCTCGGCACTCGCTCCAGAAGGCCAGTTGCCAGCTTATTCGTGTAGGTTTTGAGGATGTAGAAGCTGGCCTGGATGTGGACAAAACACACTCAAGGACTGAGATTTAGGAAGAAATCTTTCCGTCTCCTCTTTGTAGTCTGCTTTTGAATGCATGAAGGGTGTCTTATAAACTGAAGGTCTCGATTAGTTGAATCCCAGATAACTGAAGCTTTGTCTTCTAATTCAATTCTTAGTGAACAGCAGTTTGACTTCATTCTTGATTGAACTACTATGATTTTCTGGGATCTTCAGTCCACGGACTCATTTTCTTCTATCGATGAATGTGGCTCATAAAAATCACCAACACTGTCCAGATCATGTGAACTGTAATTTTTGTACAGCATTGATTCACATTAACATAGAAAGGAGATGCTGACAACTTAAACATTTATGATTCTTTTTATTAGTGCATCTTTGCAGTGCATAATGATTACATTTAGTGTGTTGAGTTGATACGTGTACATGACATGTCTTAATTCTGTGTGTGTGTACTGGGTGATGATGGAACCTTGAGGAGGCATGGTCTGGTGGGAGGAAGTGAGGTCACTGGAAGGAGGGTCTTAAAGAGGAAGTGGAGACCTGCCATATCCTTTCTTTGCATCCTAACCATCATGCAGAGGTCAGGCCACCACATGTCCCCGCTGTGATATACTGTGCTTCCACAAGACTAAAGAAACAGGCCCAAGTGACCGTAGACTGGAACTTCTGAAACATTGAGCCAAAATAAACCTTTTTCCTCTTTTCCTCTTGACTCAGGTAGTTTGTCACAGTAGCAGAAAGCTGACTAACACATTAATTTACCTCTGAGCCCTAACTTCCCCATTGGAATAACAAAGATAAAAATCCCTCCCTTGCAAAGCAAAGGTGAGACTAAATAAATTAATATGTCTAAGAACTCAGTGCTTAGTAGCTGATGAAGAAAAGTCAGATCACCTTCCATGATTTAAAAGTGAATTGTATCCTATATTGACCAAAACCAAATCTTCTTTCTATGTTTCTGCAGGCCAAACCTGCAGCACAGTCCATTTTAGGGCAAAAATCTCTACTAACCCTCCCGAGCTGATATTGATTCAGCCAATATGTGGCCTTCCTGACATAACTGCTCATGCCTCTCACCCTGGTGCTTACAGGAAAACTGAGGACCACAGCTATGTGACTGCCAGCTTGTGAATTTCTCAAGGTATTTTACACAAAAGCCATCTTACTTTTTTAAAGTTATCACCTACAGTGGCTATTACGGTTTGCGTCTAGATGTCCCCCAAAGCCTCATGCACTCTTAGGTGGGGCTTGGCTGGATCCAGCATGTATAATGCTAGGACCAAGGATGTATGATTTCTGAGCATGATGGTGCATGTCTGTAACCCAGTACTCAAGAGGCTGAGGCAGGAGGATTGATGTGAGGCTGTGGGTTCAGACAGCCTGGGCTACATAGTGAGTTCAAGGCCAGTCTGTGCTACATAGTGAGAACCTATCTCAAAAAAAAAAAAACCTATGTGTGATTACTAAATTATTCCATTGATTGGGGTATAGCATAGTCCTGGGAGTGGATAATGAGAAAGCCCTCCCTGGGTGTGGGTGCTACCATCTCTAAGAGTGTGTAGCCTGGACAGAATATAAGGGTCAGAAAGGGGGCCTCTGGGATTGCTTGTTGCTTGTTGTTTACTGCTTCTTTACCATTTCCCAGTTTTGCTGCCTCTGCTCACCATGAACTGTTTCTCCTCTGCTGTGCTGCCCTGCCTTGGCTCCAGCCAGCCATGAAGTGAAATTTCTACCAACTGTGATAAATAGCCTTTCCTCTGATAAATAGCCTTTCCTCTGATAATAAACCTTTCCTCCTTTAACTTTAGGTTTGGGTATTTTGTCTCAGCAGCAAGAGAAAAGTAACTAAGACAGTGGCAAAACCAATTTCAGTGTGATGTTAGAAACAGAATTCTGCAGTCACATAGAGACAAAAACAAATAATGTGATATAAAGGAAGGTACTTTTCTTACGAGTTTTTGAGCAAGTCCTTTGATAATTGGGCTTATTTTCAATCTGACTGCAGAGAGAAATGAGGTCAAATTTTGCTCAGTGATCAGGCTTCAAGTCCGTGGCGTCACGCAAATCCTCCTGTCCTAGCCCTGCCTCACACGTACATCGGGGAGTGTGGGCAAAGGATCCTGGTGGGGTGTGCGTATGGTTGTGAGGAGTTACTTAACTTTCTCCATCTGTAAAAAGAAAACAAAAATACTTGTTTTGCAGGATCCTGTGACATTTAAGTTAAATAATGTTTAATAGGAGGCTGTCCAGAAATGGCAGGCATTTCCCACAAGCATAGGAAGTCGACATAGCAGACCATCCATTAACCTTTAGAAAAGCTGGACTTGAATTTGCACAAACATGGACCATCTAGGATTCTTGTACACTGCTGGGGGAGCGGGGTGTGCATAAAATGGTAAAGCCATTTCAAGAAACATTTGACAGTTTCTGATAAAGTTCATCATACACTGACCAGCAATATTGCTTTTAGATATAACCCAAGAGAAATGAGCATGTGCATTCCCCCAAAAGGCTGTTATGTTACTGTTCCTGCCATTTTTCTTTACAATAATGCAAATGTAAAACAGATCCAATGCCTATGGGTGGTGAATGGGCCCTCCATGTGGGTGTATCCACTCGAGAGAATACTACTCAGTTATTAACCAAGAAGAAATGACTCTAGTGATGCACATGCACTGATATGAGCCAATCTCAAAAATACGTCAGCAGAAAAGAAGAGATCAGAGAACTACGTATTCCATAATTCTACAGTGCAGCGCCTGGGGGATTGGTGGCAGTACAGTGGTTAGCTAGGGAGAGAGGAAAGGGGCCCCAGAGAGGTTTTGGAGTGCAGTGTATACCCTAAATATTGAGCCCACCATGGGTACAAATCCATCCAGCTGTGGGATCAAAGTGGTCTGTCCCCCAGAGGTTCACATGCTGGGAGTTCAGGGCCCAGTGCTATCATGGCAGCAGTCAGCATGGTTCTCCTGGTGAGGGCAAGGCTACCCTGAAGGCCTGACCCTTCTGCACACTTCTGCCACTAGGCCCTCACCAGAATCCAGCAGGTGCTAGCATGAAGCCCCTGAACCTCCAGAGTGATGAACAAAATAAACCTCTTTTCTTTCCAAATCAGATGGTGCCAGGTGTTTTGTTATAGCAGCAGAAACTGGGTGAGCTTCCTATTTGTGAATTACACCCTCACCAGGATGCAAAATTCCCTTGTCAGTGAGTGGGTTGTACAATCCTGGGCACTGTGATGAGACCAGAAGGTGGCAAATATGGCACTTCCTTCTGATTGGACAGGGTGGCTACAGACAGTTTCTGATTTGAGTTGGGAAAGGGATCAGAGGACATGTGCTTGCAGGTGCATATTTTAGTCCAGCTGCTACTGTGCCTAAGAGTGGGAGGGACTTGTCTGGAAATCCCTTGGGCACAAGTGTCCGGAGCCAACCAGAGAGGACTTTACTGTGTACAGCAGGCCTGTTCCAGGACTCATCTGCCAGCAGGCCGGGACTTGGGCATGTTTTCCTATCACACCATTTCTCCATTTCTTCTGGCTTCAAAGGGTATGAGACATGTTTATGAATTACTTACTTTTGTGGAACCTATTAAATTAGAAGCCTCTTCTCTTAATATAACAAGTAGATTAAAATTTGAGTAATTTCATGGTCTACAAAGACAGCGGAATGTTTATTTAATTCAGGAAGGCATGCTGTTATGTGTGTCCATAAAGTAAGAGCATATTTATTATGAGCACAGAGTTGCTCTTTGTTGGCAGGGAGGTGGCCGTGGAGAGGGTGCTGGTGACAACGACCAGTAACAGTGAGGCCACCGAATGCTGCCCACATGGGGCAGGAACAAGCTCCAACTCAGAGGAGCTGGCTGTGCTCTCAGAGGACAGGTGCCTTGGGGGGTCAGAATCGTCCTGGGCTGAATTTAGCATAACTGCGGGCACAGCATCACCTGTGGGGAACAATCTGCTCCCTGCAATTGCTATGGGAGGGCTCTGCAGGAGTGCCAAGCAACGCCTCCACCGGTGTTTGCATTTTACTTGGAGACCGCCTCCTGCTAACTCACCCCAGCTGGCCTTCAGCTTGTGAACCTCCTGCCTTAGCCTCTCAAGCAGCTCAGATGACAGGCGCATGCCACCATGCCCAGCTGTGTCGGTCACTCGGCAGGCATTATCCCGCTGAGACCTTGCCACAGCTCTGTGGAAATGGGATTATTATTTTGGAGGCTAATGCTGCTTAGCAGACACTTGGGAAATCCAAAGCACTTGATCCTTCCAGTGACTCCAGGAAGAAGGAACATTTCTTCTCCCTGCTGTGCTGCAGAGAAATCTGAAGTTATGGGGCTCACAGAGCTGCCAGCCGCAGTGTCTCAGTCTAACACCAGTGCCCAAGCTCAGCAGCCACCCAACCTCACAGACCGGGTCCCTGCACCCTAGACACACAGCAGAGGAACAGGCCAGGGCCGTGCAGAGTCCAGGTCCCTGGGGCTGGAGCAGGCAGGGCTGGGAGAATCTGACCCAGCTGTGGAGATTAGGGTTGGGGAGGGAGAAGAGGAAGCAGAACAGCCAGCTCAGTGGCTGTGTGCATGGGTGTGAGTGTGTGTGTGTGTCTATGCACATGTATATCCATGCGTGTGTTTCTGTGCATGAGTGTGTGTCCGTGCATGTGTGTGTACTCGTGCATGCGTGTGTTTCTGTGCATGAGTGTGTGTCCATGTATGAGTGTGTGTCCATGCATGTGAGTCTGTGTCTCTACATGTGTGTCTGTGCCTATGTGTGTACTCGTGCATGCGTGTGTTTCTGTGCATGAGTGTGTGTCCATGTATGAGTGTGTGTCCATGCGTGTGTGTCTGTGCCTGTGTGTGTACTCGTGCATGCGTGTGTTTCTGTGCATGAGTGTGTGTCCATGTATGAGTGTGTGTCCATGCATGTGTGTCTGTGCCTGTGTGTGTACTCGTGCATGAGTGCCTCTCTGGGAAACGACTGTGGAGCGGGCATGTCCATGGGCGGGGACTCCCCATCTTCTGTCCACAGTGGCTAGCTTCTCAGAGAAGAATCTGGAGCCAAAGGAAGGCATTTTTTCTTTCCCAGAAAATTAAAGCACTTGGAGACAGGAAATTTTTTTAACACCAATACATGATTTAATTTATTCTGAAATTTTAATATTCTCTGCCTGGAATTATTAAAGATTTCTGTATGTAACATTTATTTCCCTAAAAGAACAAAAGCTCCCAAAGGTCTAGGTGGCAACTGGAGCTGGTGTTGGTGTCTCAGCAAAGTGTGCCCTGCAGGGGCCTGAGCACACTCCGACCCCTGGCCTGCGGGGTTTCCCGACCCCATGGCCTTCAGCCGAGGAGACACCCAGGCCCTCCTCCTCCACAGGCCCCTCTCAGGGCCTCAGTGCAAGCTGCCGCTCCTTGTCCTCCACTGTCTCATATCTCCGTCCCCAGCCAGGGTTCCCTGGGCTGCATCCCCAAGTCAACTCCCTGCCGGCGGTCCTTGTGGAGTCAGAGCCAGGCGTTCACCCGTGGGACCCAGCATTCAGGGCTTCTTGTATTGGACCCCAGAGTGTTGCTCCCAGCTGTGCCACGTTGTACAGGTGACTGTCAAGTCCGGATGTCGGGTCAGGGCCGGCCCCTCTCACCACCTTCTTTCAGACCTGTGATTTCACTTCCACGGACTCTGCGCCAGAGGCACCTTGATAAGACAGCGGGGCCCAGCAGCAAGGCCGGCAGCCGTTCCTGAACTGGAGAGGCGCTTGTCTGGCTACAGCCACAGCTCTCTGTTTTGCTGCTTTCTTCTTCTTCGGTCTCCTGCGTCCTTGGACCAAACCACAGAAACCGTCAGGCTGGGTGACCTCTGATCCCAGTCTCTGCCGTCTCATAGACAGCAGGGCTCCTGGGACGAAATCCGCCTGGAGAGAGCCACTCCCTCTGGGGCCATGAGACCAAAGGGCTTGCTGCTGAGCAAATCGCCCTGCACACTAATGGGCTCTCGGGAGGGAGCATCTTGCCTCAGGTCTTCTGACCACCAGGCCCGCAGCTGCTACCCAGCTGTCAGTGACGCTAACGCAAAGCCACACCACACATGCAGGCTCTGAGAGATCTTTGTGTAGGGAGCATGATCAATAAATAGGCCGATGTTCCCATTCCACACATTTGTTACAGTTACGGATGCATAGCCGGTGATGCCCCTCAAACCCGCCCCTCGCTCTGAACGCACTCAGTCCAGGGTTCCTGCCTCTTTATGAAGCAGGTCTTTTTAGAAGCCCGCTCTTCCACTGGTGGCACTGAGCAGCAACATCCAGCTTATTTTTGATGACACCTCATAGAGACCCTCAGGAGAGAGGACGTCCGGAACTGCTGCAGACAGCAGCAAGAGCTATGGGATGAGCGTGTTCAAAGCGAGGGAGAAGATTTTAAGCAGGGTTAAGGGCAAGGTCCCTCTCGTGCTGAATGTTGAATGTGCGTTCACTGTATTTGCAGATCGTGTGTTTTCTGGAGGCAGCTGGTGCCCGGCCCGCGGCAGGAGTGAGAATCCTCTGCGCACTGGGCCCTTGTCAGGATGGGCGACGGCAGAGATGGAAGTCGGCACAGAAGGCCTCCTCAGGAGTGAAGGCTGAGACCTGGCAGCCTCTCCGAATCCTTCTCCCTTCCAAGCAGACTTAGGGTGGCTTCTAAGCCAGACTGCAGGGCCTGCATTTTCATTTCAAATGACAACCTTCGCCACAGGAACTGTCACCACTTCTCACTGTGGTTTTCTCTGCAAGTATTCTAAATTCCGAGGGACACTGCTCAGAAGCTCCGTTTGACCTGATGTCTGTAGCTACAAATGTGTCTTTCAAATATGACATTTAGAAAATAATTTAGGAACAGCTACCGAGACCTAAGAAATGCAGTGCATGCAGAAGAGGAACAGGCGGCAGCACTGCTCAGTCAGGGGGAATCGGGAGGGGCGGGGGGGAGAG